CGCTCGTACCAACGCAATCAATTATCTTCAGTAATTAAATTCAGGAAATACGTCACTGTAATCAAAGAAAGGCTTTAATTAAATCTTGCAAGAAGTACTTTAATATAATACTGTTAGAACGGCGGCAAAATTTTATAAGACAAATGTTTGTGTGAAGACTGCTAAGAAATTAATAACATATTTGTATTGTCTGCTGGTGCCGTCAGCACCCGTCGGTGGCTCGGATAGTATTGCAATGCTGGCATACTGGCATGACCGTAGATACATAGGCCATAGACCGTAGATAATTGAAATAAACAAATAAGACACTTGGACATACTTAAGGTTCGTAGTTTTCTTGTGATCCATTTACATCTTAGAATCTCACGTAAGTCGATGTTATTAAATTTAAGTATTACTCGCCGTTATTTTAATTAAATGGATGTTAATAATTTTAGTTTAACTTACTGATCGACCACTCCATTTAGTTCATCTCGTAATTCTTCATTTGGTATTGAAGTCTTCAATCTGTATAGTATGAAATATACTCGTATTACTTTACCCGTTTTATCGTTTTGTACCAAAATATCACATCGTTTGTAAAGACTAAAGTTTGTACTAAGTTTGTTTGCTTTATCCATGTTTTTATATAGACTTACAGGGTTTCGTCTTATCCCCAGAAGAAAGAGTGACTTTTTGATGATTACCCCCTCCCCCTGCGATACCAAAAAAAAAGGTTTCCCGTCAAATTTTGCGCCCCAGTTTTCTCGCCCCGCTGGCATGCTAGCATGACTGTAGATAACAGTGTTGCCAATATTTAATATACTTACTCGGACATATTTATAAACATACATTTGAATCTGTCCTTAACACATGCTACCGACTTGCCTGGCGAGTTCGTTTCCATACAAAACAATTGTAATGGCATGGAAGGTGTTAAATTATGACTTCAAGTTTTTATTGTAAAAAATCTAATCATCCTTAAATTTTTGCAATGAGTTTACTGGCGAGATACATTTTGAAACAAATAAATAAAAATAAAATCGAACTTTAGAGCTTTGTGCACAAGGTACCAGGCGATCATGAAATTGAAGAGCATAATATTTTAAAAAGTTGCACTGATATTCCAACACATTTATTTTTCCTCTATATATTTAACTAAAGTTAGCGATGTTGACTTTACGAGAGTGAGTGTCGTCTAAGTTAGCAAAGTTTCCGGTCGGTAACTAGAAAATCTCGTTAACCAGCTTCCTTCTGCAGCTAATCAATTAAACGTCGCGCCGCGTGTTTACATGTAAAGTAAATAAAACTTGTCTGCTCTGATGTTGAATTTATCCCTTTTTAATAAAACTACTAATTCTAATACAAAATTTTTAATGTACCTTTACATTTAAATATCTCAACACATTTTACTCGCTTAAAATGTGTGATCTTGAAAGTGACAATTTTCTGACGAAAAATTCATGTCTTGCACGTAACAACGTCGAAGTGATGTTCCAATTGCTACATTTTATACACTTATTTTTCAAAATTGCGTATGAAATACGAAGCAAAGGAAAAAATATATGTACATACAATGCCTACGCTTAAAAACATTCATCAACCATGATCATGTTTTGCTTTCTTCACTGGACTGTTGAGTAGGTAAATGAAAGTAAGATAGAAAAACAGTTACATATCCTTAAAAATAGCACACAAACCGTTAAAGAAAAGTCGGCGCGTGAAATTCAAATCTGAAGGAGCTTAAACATTTCATGTCCGTGTATCATTGGTATGCTCTGTGAGTAATTTCATTGAAGGGCCATTATCATGAACACAAGGGTCATTGGCAACATGTTACTCTGGTCCAAATGAACTCCCCCATTAACAGGGTTCATACGACTAATTGGGAACTCCTTTAACTATCGGGAATAGGGTAAAAAATTGTCAAACAATCCAAAAGAACAATAAGCATAATTACCTATTTGTCGATCGTTTCAGCAATACCGACAGGCAGGTTATGCAGATGAAAACAAAAGGTTAATTCAACTAGTTCTCCTCTTTACAATACAGGTTAATAACAAAAGTCGTTGAACATTTTTAGGCAGTCACAATTCAGAAAACTCTTGTAAAGTAGGCCTTTCTAAATGAAAATCGAAAATCTTATCTCATAGTCTTACGTTAATTTTGACCCGTGAGCACAGAAACATTTGTTTTTAAAAGTTTATTACGTTAACTTGTTTCTGAGGTAACTTATACCATAATGCTCCATTTCTATCAAGTTTTAAGCAAAATTCTCTACCATTTCGCTCGTGCGCTAGGGCGGCTTACGATCATTCTCATAAAATGAATATTACTTTCTAAGAGATACTCAATTTAAATGTCCAACTGAAAAATATATTCATCATTGCAGCAATGGCTTACTGCATTAATATTTATGCTACAATCGAATTTGTCCTGACATTGAATAAGTTCTATCGCGTAGAAAATTAAATTCTTTCCTTTAGAGTGGATAGAGCAGAGCACAGGGCACGGATCTTTTCAATCTCGACATAATTTGAATTTCATTTCAGTTTCGTCTTGAGACTTGTGACCGGATCTCGTTTCTATGTAAATTGTAGCAAATACCTCTGACTTTGAATTCTTTGAACAAATGAATTATGTGAACCACTCGGACAAATTAGACGCCACTAGACATGAGGCATGTGGATTACTCAAAATGTGTTTGAGGTTTATTTTATTCCGATATTGGTAACCCTAACAGGGTATAGGCCTGGAACATTTTCCACACTTCCCTATCTTATCTTCCCAGAGCTGCCTTGTTCTGCAGACTTTCCTTGCTCCTGATGTGCTCCTGATGGACCTTTTCATTTGGTGGTTTCTGCTATCTAACTATCTAGGTTTGTACAGTCAAATAACTAAGGACTATTGTGAGTTTTTTTTTTTATAATATAACATTCAATAAATTAATAATTAATTTTCAATTTATCCATATATTTTTCCTCTTACATAATTAAAAATAAATGCAGCTAAGATCACATAGGTTTTTTTATTTTCTCCGAAAGAGACGTTTTCTTTTATTTGGCAATGTTAATAAAGAAAATGTATCAATTTGAGAAAAATCCTTTTTAATGATTGCAGAATTAAGTTGTTTATCATTTATTCCGATCTGTTTAAATAAAGGATAACTTTTTTACTGTAGACAATCTAAGTTTATAGCCAATATATTTTAATTACAGCAATTAAATCTTGTTTCTGTTTTTACATTTAAAATGAATGAAATAATATTTATTTCTTACTCTATTAACACATGTAAAATATTACATTAATTTTAATTTATAACTTAATCCATATTATTCCAAAGTCGTTTTGAAAAGGAAATTGTGCCAAGTCATCAGGTGTAAGGAAATTACAATTTCTAACGGATTTCAAATTAAATGTAAGTATTGGATTCTGAACGACACGCGGCAAATCTAACTAACATTCTATTTCCGCTCAAGAACTCAGCGGAGACGACGAAAAATTACCTTGGTTTGCAATAAAAAATATGTTTGATTTTTATTTTAAATAGTTACATGTAATTTTTATACTTCTCCTGACAAAGAAAAAACAATTACATTAATTAAGTAAAAATCTTAGAATTTAATAAAGCTACAGGGTTAAAAGAAATTTAAAATTATCATTCAAAGACAATTATAGACTTAACTTTTTTTTACAGTTTTCTCAGAAAAAAATCAGACAAGATTTTTCGATTCGCAATCTAGCATTGTGAGTAAAATGAAATGCTTTACGTTACTTCCGAATAACAGATGGCGTTATCAACTGAAAATTTAGATATATGAATCATCCGATGACTAAATTTCCATTGTACGCATTTTTATTTATAGGAGCAGCACATAGCTGATAGGAGTAAAACAGTGTGCCATATGAAGCTATTCAGATTAAGATGGAAGTTTTTAGATGGTGATACCAAAAGGGCTCAATGGGTCTCGATTAAATTGTGCACAGAGCTGTAGATGATAGTCTGAAACAACACATAGTCCATTTACTTTTGTTTTATAACATCCGCACAGATGGCGTTGTTGGTAAAAGTTAGGGTTAAATAAAACCAAATTCATTCAAAGACAAATTTTATTTTCAATAAAATTCAACTTCTCTAATTGGTCACTTTCACACTGAACTTCACACAATAATCTGAGCAGTTCAAAGGAATACAAGTGGAAGTAAAAAAATATTTCATACAATTCTGAGATTCCAAATTTTTTTAATCTTATAAAATAATAATATTGCACAATTGCATGTGATTTTCTTGATAAAGAATATTTCTAAACGAAAATATTATAAAATTACAGAGCGGACATTACGTACTTTCTTGAGGAAGAAAAGGAGTAAGCACTCCTTTCCATACTTTCCATTGATTGGAAAATACAAGTACAGATAGTCAAAAACAAGTAAGATCTTTGCGTGTCAAAATAAACTGTAGCGGGGGTTATTTCTGTTGAGCTACGGTTAAATATATAATCCTATCTATTGATTTAAATGTTATAATCCATAAATTATAGATCGATAAAAAATTGTGTAAAATTGGTCTAAACTATACAGATCTATGTGAAGATTTAAAATGCTTACATAGAGAAAAATACAAAATACAGTGTTAAATACAGAAAAATATTTTGCTGTGATATATTAAATCGTATATACTTAAGATTAACGATATGAAGACATAAAAATAATTTAAAACGTCTATATACAGTTATATTTTTCTAAATTCGTACTACATCCCTGATTAAGTACAAAAATAAATGTAAATAAAATAATACAAAACAAATAAGGTCGAAAATATACATGCCAGTAGCAGGAACATTTGAAAGCAAGCTAGTGGTACGTGCCAGCTACAGGCACGTGTAAAAGCTAACTGGTATACCAGTAGCTGACATGCGAAAAGATCTGTCACATTCGGTCGTAAATTGGCCAAACAGGTCCCTTAACGAAAATGTTACATGACAAAACCCTAAGGGACTTCTGAAATAACCATTATCTGAGTAGCAGTAACTCGTAATACCTGTTAATTTACAAAAATACTAATACTTTGAAATAAGAATACAAAAAGCCCAAGGCCATACAAGGTCAAACTTTATTTCGTTTTCAATGTCTCAACAAATCACTCATTAATATTTAGATACTATTAAATGCAACCTGTCCATTTCTATGTTTGATTTTAAACAACTATCTACCCAAAAGGAACTTAATATGACTAATTTTGTTTTAATACCATAATCAGTTTTAAACTAAATTCTCTTTTAGAGACATAACCTAATATCAAAAATCTTAGGTCAACATAAAATTAATCGCAAAACACGTTTGTAATATACCGTTAAAAATAAAACACATAATATAAACGTAAAAATCTAAGCTATGATATAAATTAAGTACCACACACGTAATTAAACTTACAAATAAATAGTAACAAGATTTGTTTTTTATTTTACGCTGCTTTTTAAAATGACAATGTGTTTTGAAATACCTGTGTTTAATAGCTGTGATTAATACAATGAAATACTTTACTGGCAAGAACGATTTATACATATTGAAAACCGATTACAATTATAAAAAAATATTATTGTCAAGTGTAACAGTACAAATGATTATTTTTAAATTTATTAAAACTTAGCATAAAATAAATACTGCAGAAACGGTCAATAATCCAAATTAGAATTTTTAAAACTCATTGACATATAACCCAAAAAAGTCACTATTTTTTCAATTATCACACAAAATGTTACCAAGAATCAAGTGTATCAGTAATTTTTAAAACTTTAACTTAACGTTACTTATTTCCTAATTACCAACTTACGTCCCTTCCTGTTCCACCAAAGCCGCTTGAGATAAAGAAATCTGTTGCGATCTCGGCAACGGTTTTGTAATCAACATCTTTATACAGGGTGTTAATAAATATATCAACACGCCCAAAGCAACCATCGAGATGACGAACAACGTCCACTGAGCCGCCTTTATAGATATCGCCGGGTCAGACAACGGCTCGATTAATTTACACTTCACAAGAATTGACGATGATGTATTATAAGGACCACTGATAGTCGCGTTTGGACCACAGTTTGAGGTCTTCCAACCTATCCAGCCCGCGGATCTATTAAATACCACCTAAAAGAAAAAATACAACCTAAGTGAACAATACATCCTGGAGACAACATATTCAAAGAGACCATAATAAGTGACTACTTCCAAATATTTCTTTACTTTCCAAACCTTAGTCACCATCATCTACTACGGGATCACCTACGGGAGTAGGATAAGGAGATGATGTTTATCATCTCGCTTTTTGATCATGTCACCTTTTTCACAATCCATCCATCTCTTTCTAGGTCTACCTCTACCGATGTACCCTTCCACACCCATAACTAACGTTCTCCTTGTAACATGCGATTCATCCCTCCTCATAACATGCCCATTAGCATGGTGCTAAACTTTTACTTCTTACCTTCTCTACTACGGGGGCTACTCTCAAACTTCCTCTAATATACTCATTTCAAACTTTCCAAACCTTAGTAGGAAATAAATAATAGGATCATCATCGTTATTTTCATTCTTATCCTACTCCCGTAGGGTCGGCGCAACAGGTTTTTGTCCTCCACATAACTCTATCATACGTCATCTCAGTAATCACTCCCTTTTTGATCATGTCACCTTACACACAATCCATCCATCTCTTTCTAGGTCTACCTCTAGATTATAGGATATAAAACATATATAAAAAATGTTAGTTTTATACCTGAAGTCCCTCCATAGCGGTGTATCCAAGAACGGTCTCCTTCCCGCCGGCCTCCAGGCCCAGCTTGTAGCAGAACTCGGCCACGCGGCCCGCGCCCTCCCTCGCGGACACCACGCGCATGTAGTTCTACAAATGCATCATAATCAAAGAAACTTATAAATACACACAAAACTTTTAATTCCAAATATCACAATTCAAATGTCCGAATGACAATGAACGCTTTTGCTTAGCTGAGAACTATTTATGAGTAACCATGGCCACGGCGCTTCTTTGTTACTGTAGTTTTTGTCCTTTTCTCGTTTGATTTCTTTTTTCAACTTATTTATCTCCTAAACTTAATAAAACTATATAGACTAAAGGATAACTCAATTGCAAATGTCAAAATTCTTGATGTTGGCAACATCTAGTTTATGGTCTCTTTCCTACGTAAAGAGTTATTACTAATCTATTTACCCCCTAAATTTAATAACATGAAAATATATAACCTAAAGAGTGACGTAAGTGTAGGGGCTTTTTATTAAAGAGTGGATAATTCAAAAATATACTGAAAGAAGTTGCGTGTTTACGTTTTATCATATTAGTATAGATATACTGCAGAACAAAATTAAGTGTTTACGCTGTAATTAATCAGCGATACGAAGTCTTTTTTGCGTTTGTGTGAAGTGTAAGAGTAGTCGCAGTCTCACCTGTGGCGGTAATTCGAGTGTGAAGTATTGGTTTTCCGCGTCAAAGTCGAGTAAATGTATGGCGAGCCGCGGCAGCGACCAGCGCTGCGGCTGCGGCCAGCACGCCGCCTGCACACACACACTCCGGGATATAGGACTCAAATTTTAAGTTAAAAATGGTTACAGGTAGGGTGGAACAAAAATAACCGACTGTCTTTCGCTCGCGACTCTGTTCGCGAGGAAAAAAAAAAAAAAAAAAACAGAAGTAACCTATATTTTCTTCCAGACTAACTTCTACAACATAGACTAATGGATACCCATTCAGCAGTTTAGGCTACAGTCTAAAAGACATCGATCCATCTAAACTTTTGTATTTATAATATTAGTAAAATGAAAAGAATAATTTTCTTTTGAACAAGTTAAAGGCTAAGGAAAAGTTGTGATTTATAGATAGGTAGAAAATCTCCCCCGGTACAGATGTCGTTACTTGGTGAGCCCCTGACAGTGGTAGAGAATCACTATGCATTCACTTACCTCGCCGTGATACCAAAACTCGTCCAAAATTAATATGTTACTTTTCTGTGCGGCAATCCTAAGATCATTCACAACCTGGAAATATTAAATTTATAGTTTAATTACAAGCAAAAGAGAAACTGATAATGTATGTAAAATTTTGTTATATGTGTAGTCATTTTTTTTCTCCAACATTATATTTAAAATTCTTGACTAAAACATTTATAAATTACCTGTGTAAATAATTCATCAGGTAATCTTATATTCGTAGTTCCACTGTCCACAATACTTTTCTGTTTATTCAGTCTTTGGCATAAATCTTCATCTATTTCATAAATTGATCGATCACGAGTGAAATTTGTCGCATTGTTTTCAGTCTTTAACTTAGCAACCGACGAGTCAGAAGGCGACATCACTTGAACCGATAAAACTCCAACCACGAACCATCGCTTCCGTAAAACAGGGGTGCGAAAAATATAACTTTCGTTCTTAGCTACCATTTGGTCATCTGAAATGAAAAAAATTAATTAAAAACGCATGCAAACATACTTGAAAATTATTGACATAATTAGATGTAATAATATACATAAAAGCTAGGTTTATAATTACATCCTACACACAGTGAAAACAAAACAAAAATAATAATAAAATCGTTTCGGTGCCGTTTCTGCTACTCGATAATAGATGGCGCTGTGTGTTTGTTACATCACGATATGTAGGTGTTCGTCTTGCAAGCTATATACTTCTCTCGTGTTTCAATTTTTTCCTTGGTCAGTTCAGTGATTTTATTTGTGTTCTTTTTGACGTCGAGGTCGTAGTTTTGAAGGAATATCAACAAATAGAATGTCAATTCAATTTCTTTCTAATGAGGAATGATATTAATTTCCATTTCAATGTAGGTTACATTTAAGATATAATTATATTTGCAAGAATAAACTAATATTAGCTTTGGTTGTGACTCTGTTCGAATGTAATTTAAAAAATACATTACTCAGTTTTACAGACTATGCCATATTTCAGAGAGATCTATTCTTAAGATACATAGAAACAATTATTTATGCATATAGTAAAAGTAAGAAGTAAGATTTTTCACATAACTTACCCAATATTTTTAAGTTCCCATAATGTGTAGCATTAGTAAGACCCTGAACACCGCACAGTTTTAATTGAAAAGACATTGGGTTATTTAGCATATGGTCCATAGAGTCAAGCCATGAGCCCACTATTACATTGTCCCCCCAAGCACCAACTGGCAAGTATGCCAGACCAAGAAGGCCCTGGAAACAAAAAAAAAAACTTAATAACAATTATGTCTTTGTTTTTGTTAAATTTTTATCACTACTCAACACAGAATTTACGAAATGTCAATAAAAAAAATAATTCTCTATTTTATTGATATATTTATGGAAAATACAAACGGATGAATGCCAAATTTGAAAAGAACAAAGTTAATGTGAAGTGGGTGTACATAAAGATAATTTTACAAAGGAAAAACTGATCATGTTTCATATATTGTTATATGTTTGCTAACAAAACATTTTATGATTCAATTTCAACCAATGGGCTATAACTTGTGTGTATTGAAAAATTTAAATTAATAACTGTTACATAACTCACCTGCCATCCTGAACCATTCATAAAGAACTTATGACTCTTTGTGATAAGCGCAATATCACTTCTTACTTCAGGGACATTCACCATTGAAGGAAAATGAACATAATCAGACACCAGTTTGCCGACCCAGGTGCCTTGGGAATACTGAGCTTGAATCTGAAATAAATAAAAGCATACAAATGAATAACACACTTTTTTAATTAAAAAAACATAAACTTTACCTCTATAAAACATGATGATATAATTGACAAAAAACTGAATTGTTTACTGGAATTAAATACATACAAAACCCAGTATAGGTAACAAACAATTTAATACATTAGACTGTTAGGTAAAAACAATAGTAAATAAGAAGTTCTTTTAATCGTTTTAAACAGTGATGTTAATACCAATTGGAACAATAATGCTTGGTTCACATTATGCCAGTACTGTTGGACATTAATTCCTAAGAAATACTAACATAAAACTGACATTGTTGACAATAACAGAGCAAAAACATTCAATACCAAGCTAGCAAAAATACTGTACTGGCCAAAAGTAAAGCAGGCATTACTCAATTACAATACTAACCTCTTGTCCACTTTCATATATGCTTGTGGAATTCTTCAAATGGAAATATTTGTCACTATCAGGCCGCTGATATGATGCAATAGCTAATGTTGCACTGCCTGTGTCCACTATGACATTTAACTGATGAATAAACATAACATAAATATAATTAGAACTAATAGGTCGGTAACGTACGTTTAAAGCCCTATGTGAAAAATGCATTAAGTTAGCAGTAATATTAGTTGTTGTAGCAATAGCAAGTTACTGTACTAGGAAATATAAACAGATCTACCTTTTGACCAGGGTGTCCAATACTTATTTCTATAGAATATGCTTGGCCAGCTTCTCCAAAAAGATTAAAGTCCTCAGCAAAACTTTCTTTGAGTTCAGCAAAGAAAATCAATTGGAATATAAAGACATTCGACAAACAAAACATTTTACTTCATAACACTATTTTTGATATTCAATACTAAACCAGGTTACTTAGTACTCCAGGTTTCTTAAAAACGTAAACGTAATGTTTGTTTTGTTTTGCTTTTGAATTAAATTGCATTAATTTATAACATTGTAAACCTCGATCTTGAGTCTCGGTTTTGCTTGTCTTGTCAATTTTGAGAGCGTCGATTGTCAGATATGAGGCTGTCAGCTGTCACTGTCAATCGAAATACTGCAAAACTTCTTCGTTTACTAAACTTACTTTAAAATATGTAATAAATATGTGGACTATTTCTGCTCTCTTAGACTTGGGAATGATTGAAATAAAAAATCGATTTTGTTTTCATATTAACATTTCTGTAGAACAAATTATTCTAATTCTTTAAATGGACGTTGCTCATGCTTGATTTTGCTTTTTCCGTTATATGACATTTGTCAGATGTCAACAGCACAAAGCGTTTTGAATTTTGACTTTGCATTGCACCAAATTGTGGTTTGTTTACATTTAAGATATCTTTAAACAACGCTTTACAATGAGTTTGTGGGTTGATAAACACAGACCCAAAGATTTAATGAAACTTGACTACCACAAGGATCAAGCATTGAGATTGAAAAATTTAGTTCAACAAAGCGATTTTCCGCATCTTCTTGTGTATGGACCTTCTGGTGCCGGTAAAAAAACTAGAATTATGTGTTTACTACGAGAACTTTATGGCTCTGGTGCCGAACGATTGAGACAAGAAACGATGCATTTTACAACACCATCTAACAAGAAAATAGAAATAATGACAGTAAGTAGTAACTATCACATTGAGGTTAATCCAACGGACGTAGGTATTCACGATAGAGTTGTTATTATGGACTTGGTTAAAAATGTTGCTCAAACGCATCAAATTGATTCTTCTGGTCAACGTGAGTTTAAGGTAGTTATTTTAAATGAGGTCGATGACCTAACTAAAGATGCGCAGCATGCTTTACGTCGTACAATGGAGAAATACGTTGCTACATGCAGGCTAATATTAATCGCCAATTCTATATCACGAGTTATACCTGCTATAAGATCACGTTGTCTTACTATCAGAGTTCCAGCACCCACAGAAAATGAAATAGCAACAGTATTGCATTCAGTGTGCAAAAAAGAAGGTTTAAGTCTTCCATCTGAACTAGCAATGCGTGTTGCTAAAGCTGCTGATAGAAATTTACGCAGAGCATTACTTATGTGTGAAGCATGCAAAGTACAGAAATATCCATTTTCACCAGATCAAAAAGTTCCAGAACCTGACTGGCAGCAATTTATCAGAGAAACAGCTTCAATGATTTTAACAGAGCAATCACCAAAGAAACTCGGTGAAGTGAGACAAAAGTTATATGAATTAATAATCCATGGCATTCCTCCTGATATGATATTTTCAGGGCTTTTATGTGATCTAGTTCGTAATTGCGATATTTCAATTAAATGTCAGATTGCCAGCTATGCAGCAGAGTATGAACACCGAATGAGACTGGGCAATAAGCCAATATTTCATCTTGAAGCCTTTGTAGCCAAAAGTATGGCAATATATAAAAAGTATGTGGAAGAATCCCTGGGTGATGCGTTTTAAATTGTAACATGAAAAGAAAATAAGATATTGTTATTTGTAAGTTAAATTAAAATACTCATTTTGTATGAAAAACTGATACTTTTATTTAAATAACACATAATAAACATAAAATAAAAAGCTATACAAGTATGTGAAACCTATAATTCTAAAAGTCTTAACCACAGATCCTTCATTTTTTTTTACCTTTGTCTACACTTTATTACATGTCTTCACCATCTTCCTGTCAGCCTCTAGCCGCTGTCATCCACATAAGCATCACAAGTAGAGTTTAAAAGCAAAATATGTTTTAATGCATTTTTTTAATATGAATTTTTGAATATAATATTAAAACCTGATTTTACACAACCCATCCCTACTAAATTGTCAAACTAATTCTTATTTAGACAACTATAGTTAAATAAATATCATTTAATTATATCCAGTAGTTTACAAATTATAGCCAGTTAAATTCTTCTTTTTATGCAATTTGTGGGAAGCGATTTTAAGTAGAGAAGGGTTCAAACTAATTTGTTTTATTTACGCTAAAACTACTGGGCCGATTTTAAAAATTCTTTCACCATTAAAAAAGGTAATATATCTGTGTCTAACATAGGCTACATTTGATTACTACTAATGTTTAGGAACTATTAATAAAAAGGGTATTTCTGGACCCCGGTGTTAAAAATCATTAAATTTTTACTTTTCACAGCTTATGCTGCCTAAACCGTTACAGGCATATAAAAATGATGTGTGAAGGAATTGTGCATCTCAAAAAGTTCTAAAAAGTCCGCGATAAGCATACATATATCTATTTTCAACGGTTTTCTTCGGAAACCATTTTTTTGTTTACAAAATAAATTAAAACCGCATGCTATTTGCGTCGTTGTTTTATTAGTTTCAATATTAATCCTTACCCAAATAAATGCGTTTGTTGTCAGGAGAAATTAATCTTACTTCTTACTAATATTATAAATGCGAAAGTTTAGATGGAGAGATGGATGTTTACATTACATTTCACATAAAAATATACAGGTTTTTACTCATTTTCTTTAAATAAATGCAAAATAGCATCCATCAAGATTAAGTTATGATCTATCATAATACATAGTGTAGGTTTATTTTCAAAATTACGTTTTTATGTAATATTAAATGAAAATCAACGATTTTAATTATTTTTTTATTTATGTAACTTGTAATGTTTTAATGAAAATAGTTGTTAATAATTTAGCTTTTTAGACTTCTTTAAAGAATTTGATTTTCATATATTTTGTATGAAAATTACAAGAGCTTTTGCCCTCGACTATTTCAAATCGGCTTTTTTTTATGAAAAACAAAGCAAAGGTGAAACGTTCTTCTACAGACATAGGCGCAGGTTATGAAAAAACTTGTAGGAAAAAAGTTGGTGTAAAAAGAAATAATTACAGCTTCTCAAAGTTAGAGAAAGAAATTATATTTTAAGAAAATTTTCAGTGACTTTTATTATTTCGTTCTCGTGTAAGTTATTTCAAAAAGGGAATAATGGTACGAAAACTCAATAATTGGCTTGTTCAAGAAAAAAAAATTAACTACTGTTAACACATTATTTTGGACGTAACGAAAGATTTGTACCTTAGCCGGAAATCAGATTTTTACGATTTTTTCATAAAAAAACAATAACTTAAAAACCATAGCAAATATATTGAGGTCCAGATTAGGTGACTATTGAGGTTCTCTAACTCCACAAAACCGTTGATTCCTCCGTTATGAATCACCTGAGAATGTTTCCGACATTTCTATTATACGTTGATCTGCATTAATTAGTTCGTCAAATAGTATCTCTAACTATCATGGAACAAGGGTGGCGTTATCGGAGTCCACTACGTCATTTGTAACTTGAATCATAATTCGCTGTCGCTTCGTCGTTATTAAGATTCACGATCTTCACGACGTTGCCTTATACTCAGCTATTGTGTAATTATGTATAGACCAGAATGTCATTGAAAAAAGGCGTAAACTATAATGATCGAAATATTTTCGCGTCCTGTAAGATGTATTTGCGTTGCTGATAACGAAAATCGCATTAAATTTTTTTTGTCTGTCTGTCCGCAAGCCGCGTTTGTTCCGGGTAATCTCTGAAACGGCTGGGTCGCTTCGACCGGACTTTCCCTGAAGGGTAGCTGACATCGACGGGTTACTTTTTTATCTCAATATTGCGTGGACGAAGTCGAGGGCAACAGCTAGTTGTATAAGGGAGGTTTACTATTTGCAAGGAATTATCTTTATTATAATATCTCAATACATTCACGTACCTGTATCTTAAACATTTTATTCTCCTTGTTAAATGTTCTCAGCTACACTTGCTCTGTTGTGACATAATCATCTTGCGAATAAAATTCCAACAAGCAGAAAATATAACATTCCATGGTGGAATTAAGTCTGTAGCAAACAAGCCATTTGTATTAATATTTAACAATCTGTTTATTGTCATTAAACATTCTTAATTGAATAGTTAAGAATAATAGCACAGCAATTAGACCTATGTATTTATATACGAGGTAGGATAAAGTCTATCTGTCCGTTATATAATATGTTGCGAGTACATTTCTCGTGTGCAGTGATAATTATTGACCTATGTATCCTGATTCTTAGTTTTTTCATTTAATTTTTGTTTGCACTGATACTGCGCTTCCGTCATAAGTTCGTCTGATAAATAGTACACGGAAATATCTTAGTTGTCATCTGACTACGAGACAATACTGTCGACTGCAAGATGAAGACGTGCGAAGTATTTTTATTACTTGTATTTTCCACAAGTGCACTTTCGGATACAGGTAAAAACTGTACAATTTATTATTATCATTTAGTACATATGTTTTATTGTCTGTTTTTTCTTCGTCATGTGGGCCGAGGGAGTACCTTTGCCCACATGACCAAGAAAAAAAAATGTCTTTTACCTATAGAATCTGTATATACATTTTTAATCCTTTTTATACGTTGTTATTTTTATTTTCAACATATCGAATAATAAATAAACATTTTTTTCTCGGTTTTTGTAGTTATAGTTTACATAAAATGTATTTTTTACATGAATTGTACACGACTGTTTTGATTAAACATTCTGAAACGTATATAAAACAAATATTTTTTTGTTTTATATACGTTTCAGAAGATTGAATTCTGTATTGTTGATAAGACTTTTCTAATAGCTATTGGCCATGGTATCTTAGTCCAAGAGCACTGAATTAAAATCTATAATCCTTGTTTTATTAAATAAATTGTATCATTTACGCAACCTAGTAACTACACTCAAAAACATTGAATCCGGGTCACTAAAAAACCTAAAAACTCGTAAACTAATAATGCTAGCTTAACGAAGTAAAGGGAGTTTAATAGACAATATTATAACCCTTAAATTAAAAAAATAATATTTATAAGCTGCTACATTTTAATGATTAAGAATTACAAAAAGAACTGTTGATCTCGCGTTAGTACAAAAAGAAAAGAACAGGACATTTTTGTACTCTACGTTTTTCTCCAATTTCAATGTGTTACTGTTGCCTCCTATTGCTTTCATTATTGCGTTTACGCGGTTTAGTATGCTGTACACCAAGTTTATTATACCAGTTTCGTTAATATTCTCCCATTCCGCTGTCAGAGAGAAACTAAGAAGTTTTAATAACTTAGTTTAGGCAGTATTTAATTGTTTATCAAACTCGACTCGTATTCAATGCTTTTAGTGTAGTGAGTAGTTGGATCTTCGGTTTCGGCACCTCCGCGGCTATCATGTATTGTAGGGTACCTAGTAAAACACCCGTCTAGGTGTTTAGTTACTAAATTGATGGAAGTAAAACTATTACTTGAGCGGAGCAAGAAAACTAAACATCGTAACGAGACGCCGCACATTGGGCTGTATCCAGTTGCTCCATAGACAACTTTATCTGATGTTTGAAATGTATCTTTTTTTTTGCTTGAATGTGCTTTGTATCAGTAAATGCAAACCTTATAACGTAATATTTATCTTGTATCGATGTTTTTGGCGCAATTAGAATGTTGTCTCTGAAAATTTGTATGGAGCCGCCCTCAAAATTGGCGATAACTCAGCTATCGCACAATTGCGCCTTATATTCTCTAAGATAACGTTTGTACAACTTGTAACGATTTTTTTGGTATACTATTGGACACGGGCACGGGTGTGATTTTTGACTTATTCAAGGTCAAAGGTCTTAAAAATTACTTTTTCGCGTATTTCAGCGGAATGGTTAGCTTTATCAAAAAGTTGACTAGGACGAAGTTGTAGATCATGAAATTGCTAATAAAATATCCATACATACTTTTTTCATAAGAGCCATAGTTTCAGAGATATAGCGATTTGCACATCCAAATTGTTCCGACTAATATACCCGATACTTTAATGACTAATAATCCCTAACCACTGGAACCAGAGGTTTGAAATTTTGCGTAAAAGTTTCTATTACTGTATAATATGAGCGCTAAGAAAGAATTTTACGAAAATCATCTCGTAAAGGTCCAACGTGGGGGTTGAAATTTGCATGTAATGGTTTTCTTCTTCAAGCCAAGTGACTTGTCAAATCATAACTTATATATTCGCACATATATATACCATAACTACAATTATTAAAAAAATGATTTAGAAGATAGGACAGAAAAAGTAAAAAACGAATGATATCTTTGTATTCAATACTAGCTTTTCGCGTGCGGCTTCATCCGCATGAAATTATGAAAATTTTAGTTTACTGTTTTATTTTATTGCTTTATTATAATAGTATAGATGATATTGATCTTAATAACCTAATAAATTTACTTATTCACTATCAGTATATTCATTTTCAGAATTAGTTTCTGGTTCAAAAAGCGAAACTTCGCAGAACTGGATTTCATGATCCGATTCATTACGATCCAGCAAATCCCATACTTCGGCAAAGTAGATCTTCCTCTTTTTAATTTCCATTGTGGGCCTTGTTGCCGAAAGAAGTGGATCCGAAGAAAGTAGCAGAAAGTTAAAATTATCTTCATTAGAGCACTAAAATACAATACATTTAATATACATATATACGTGCAAATATATAAGTTATGATTTGATATAATCGTTATATCTCGGAAACTATGGCTCTTATGAAAAAAGTATGTATGGATATTTTATTAGCAATTTCATGATCTACAACTTCGTCCTAGTCAACTTTTTGATAAAGCTAACCATTTCGCCGAAATACTTGAAAAAGTAATTTTTAAGACCTTTGACCTTGAATAAGTCAAAAATCGCACCCGTGCCCGTGTCCAATAGTATACCAAAAAAATCGTTACAAGTTGTACAAACGTTATCTTAGAGAATATAAGGCGCAATTGTGCGATAGCTGAGTTATCGCCAATTTTGAGGGCGGCTCCATACAAATTTTCAGAGAAAACATTCTAATTGCGCCAAAAACATCGATACAAGATAAATATTACGTTATAAGGTTTGCATTTACTGTACATTTACTGTGCATTTACAAAGCACATTCAAGCAAAAAAAAGATACATTTCAAACATCAGATAAAGTTGTCTATGGAGCAACTGGATACAGCCCAATGTGCGCCGGCCGCCTCGCCGATCATTGATAATGAAAACGGCACTGACATTTGATCTTTATGTGAACACTTGATACCAATAATAAATGTTTGATTAAAATGTAATTGATATACCACGTGCACAGATTTAAACTTGTATTACTCATGTACATTACTTGCAAGTGATATTAAAATGTAAAATTTAAAATCGCCCCAGTAGTTTGAAAGTTATTTTAATACATACAAAAATACAATTTTTTTATCTTCATAACATTAATAAGGACTAGCCGTTGCTCGCGACTTTATCCACGTGAAATTAAAAAAATAGATTGAAATATAGACCGTTTTACTCAGTGAAAACATAGTTTTTTAAAAGTGAAAGAATTTTTGAAATCGCCCCAGTAGTTTTTAAGTAATTTAATACATACAAAAATATAAATATTTCCTCTTTAATATTATGAAGTAAAGATAAAGATAGAGATTGATAATAAATTGGTTACAGGTGGACTATTGCGATCGTGTAAGATTAAGGATATAGAATGCCTGAGCAAATCAACTGAACAGTTCTTAGAAAAAACCTGTAAAGGTATCCCTGAGGCCGACATAAGAGCCATCGATCCTTTAGTAATACCTGCCTTGGACTATGCGGCAGAAGACATAGGCGGCGTTTCGTTACATTTTACAAACATTAACATATCTGGATTAAAGAATCAGAAGATATCCGACTTCCAGTAAGACTAACAGCTGTGTACTAAATATTAAAATGTATTCCCCGTCTCCTATTTCAATTTATGACCGTTTACACTTGTCGGATAAAAGATCTGACGTTCTAGTGGCTAAACTTTTCGAAATCAATTTGCCACGCCGTGCTCGGTGTCGCGTGGATAGACGCCAAGTGGAGAGGCACTAAACACAATCAGTTGTAACTGCAGAGTAGTACTTAGTAGTAGTAGCAACTGTAGTGCTGTACAGTTTAAACTAATTAGTCAGATTAGGTAAAATGTATGTGTGAAGGCAACATTGAAACTGGCAGTTAAAAAGTACAGTTCACAGTTTTGCCTAAACACGAAAGTTTTAACTATAAAGTTATAACTTAGTCATGAGTGATTTATTTTTAGAATGGACAAAGATAAAATGTCAGTAGTGCTGAAGTTGAATGTCGATTTAAATATAGTTAGTGAATTAGATGTAAAGCTAACAGAACATTCGAAGATTTTCTCTGGAACATACAAGGCTAAAGCAAGTAAGTACAATTAAAAATGCTGACATACTATTGCAGCAAATTAAAAAAAAATTTTAAATGGTTTGAGCAGAGGAGAAAATAAACTTAATAGGACGTGCCACATGTCATGTTGAAAATCATAGTAAAGTAGCTGTAAACATCACTGCTGTGATGAGTCACGTATTTTACCCCAAATAAAATATACCTGGATGTCTCACTAGTTCACGGCTTATACAGGCAACGTTATAAGCACAGGATGGTATATGACTATGAGTGTATGAGTATACAACTATTACTGGACAAAACTTACATTTATTCCACACAGTGGCGTAGCGAAGGGGAGGGGGGAATTTCCACACTAGTATTTTATGTTGTACAAAGCCCATAAACAATAATCTTCAATATTTAACAAAAATCTGATTTCAGCTACCTTGGCTACAGCTAATTACAATTACGACTTAAGAAATAACGATAAAGGAGTTCGTTATTTTGAAGTTCTTCCGGAAACAATAACTTGCAGTATTGTTCAAAAACCCGAAGTATCTTTGAATGATGAACTAGTTCAAGCACTTAATAAAGGTAACTTCGCCGTATTTTATAACTATGAGCTACCGTGTATTTGCGAAATGTTCAATAAACATTTCATATTTCATATTCCCGTGTCGAAAATTATGAAACGCTGAGATGTAAAAGTAATAGTTAGTTTTATCAATGTTCTCGTTTATTTGTTTTTTTTTTTTGGAAGTAAATTCTTAGATAATATTAAATCTGCCGCTAAGTTCCGGCATCGCACGAGTAGACCGAGCACTAAAATTAATCGTTACCACCTCGATTGTTGGCATTCTATAACGATCTTATACGAGTCCTCAGCTGTATTTACAAATATTTACCGCTCAGGGGTCTTTAAGAAAAGATGGTATATACCTTCCTTAAAGGCAATGCTTATGTGAACACTCTGACGCTCCGGCTTCTTTATGTTCAGACTCCAACTGTCGTTAAAGTATCAAGTGTACTTCCTTCCACCGTTTATAAAACTTTTGATAGGTTATTGTCCTAAACACTTGTACAAAAACATTGTTATCCTATTGACACTTTTTGAATAAAAAACATCTAAAACTAGTAACAAGAAAGAAGTAGATATGATGTCATTTTTGTTACAGATGAACATATCAAAGAAGGTATTGTAAAATATGAAAAGAAACGCGATGAATATAAGGAAAGAGCTATTTGTAAAATCGTTCAAAAGGCTTATGAGACGGTCATCCATAACATTAGAGCGGCTGCAAAGTTCTTACCAGCAGAAGACTTTTTCCAAGACATATGAAAATCTCAATTTTATTTACAAGTAGAAATCAATATGTTTCACAGCTTTGGTAAACAAACTTACTCAAGAAAATGTATTTGTAAATGTAAACACTGTGCGACAACATATTGTTTTGTTTAAGTTGGATTAATCGACTCATAAAAATAAACCAATAAACATTTATTAGATACACGAGATGAATGTTTACGCAATAAACAATTATGATGTCTTTATCTTTATTTTTTACGATAGTTATATATTTTGTTTTAAAACGGTCGTTTCAAAGTGGATCAGAATCATCGGTGTTTTCTTATCGAATAGTGGGATTCCAACGCTTGACCATGTGACCGAAATCCTTACTCATAACTTTTAAGCTTGACGCTTCAACATTTTTAAATTAACATTTATGAAGCAAACTGTTTTTATTCATATTTGGCGATGACTTTACTGTTTAGAAACAATGCATTGTTTCTTAAGTAAAAACGGATTGAAATTCGTAAGTGCATTTGCATAGTCAACACTGTTTACAAATAAGTCTCCAAGTATGATAAGCATTTTTTCGTGAAGTCAACGAACCGAAAACCGCCTTCCATAAATGAGACCAGACCAGACCAGTCCATTAACTTAAGCGTTCAAAATAAACTTTGTATGAGATTATATTTTATTCAAGAGTATTTCACCTCTCTTTTTTAAAGAACGCATAACAGTATAATGATATAAAGCATGAATTCCAAGATCATATAACGTAATAAATAATCGCCAGGTTTATTATTCAAAGCAGATGAAAAGATTTGTTTCATAAATTGCAACATTAAGATAAGAAACAATTTGCTGGCTTTTATTCCAATACTTTTTATATAACTTCATTTTCATGTCGAACGGATTTAAACATTGGCAATTGGTTTAGATTTTTTTTATAACATAAGGTGGCAAACGAGCAAGCGGCCACCTGAATCCGCCAAAATGGCGAAGCGACCGCTGCCCATAGTCATCCGCAATTGCAGCTGCGATGCCTACCCTTATCCAACGGAGAAGGAGATGCACATAAAGAGGATATTGCCCCTTCATCTGCTTCTCCTCCACCGTCAAATCCACTTCCCCTTTCCATCCTCTCCTTATAAGAAAAGGGTGGAAAGGGAAAGGGTTAGTCCCTTTCCCTTTCCACCCTTTTCCTGGGCCTCCGGCAGCACACTCATCAGACAAAAACGGAATTGCTTCCATTTCACGCCTGTTTTCTGTGTGGTCGTGGTATTACACCGGGCGAGCCGGCCCATTCGTGCTAAGATATTAAAGCGGGCACTACCACTGTTAGATTAGATACAAGACAAAACTTCGTTTACCTACTTTAAACCTAACAGGTAAATGTGGTCTTACAATTTCATATCAGAGTTGTCTTATTTAACAATAATGTCGACGACTGTTCAATCTTAATTGTTTAATACAATATGTTATGTACCAGCTTTCGCCGCGACTCCGTCCGACTGACTATCCTTTACATTTATGCCAAATTTCATTGAGACCACTGTTTTTTAAACGAAATTAAAATCTAATCGGTTACAGTTATTTTTTTGTTGTACGACAAAAATCGTATGAAGGTATTTTTCTAAATTATTTACTCTTTAAGTTTAATAGCTTAAAAATATATAGCCTCAAGCTCATATTAAGTCTGGGGCTTTTTATTAAAAGAAACATTATTCAAAAATTTAATGTGATTGCTGACATCCTACATAACTAAGTTATAAAAAAACGAGCTGTTGCCCGCGACTTCGTCCGCGTGGTATTAGAAAACATACGAACTATATAAATTACAAAAAGCTACGTATCCCTCGGGAACCGGACATTTCTCGGGGATGAAGCTTATCCCATATGTACTCCAGATTTTGTTTTATATCTGTGCCAAATTTCAATAAGATATGTTGAACTGTTGCAGAATGATCGAGTAAACATTAAGAAACTAAATTAATGAATCCCACGGGAACCGTAACTATTCCCGGGATAAAAATTAGCCTAATTATTTTGCTTATGTGTCTGATTTTAGTAAGGTGCCCTCGGAACTTTACTTGAATAAGCAATGCGGATTTATTTTCATGCTCACCACCAAAATAATATGAAGCTTTTATAAAATTGAGCAAATTAATCGTAAGGATTACTTTGATTTTGCAATGCTTTGAGTGGTCGTTGACCACTAATGACCTCAGAAAATCTTTGTTGAAATTCAACTTACGGTAATAACTTTATACTTGGTGCTTCAATTCTAAAAAAGCAATATTTAAGCAAAAAAAGGTAAAGTGAAAAATTATAGTTTATATGTGATTCTATTAGAACGTTGTATGTCCTGATGTGCGAGAAAATTCGATATATCGTCAAATTATAAAGGTCAAAATCCTCTTAGCGTCAAATAAGGCTATTGTTGCGTTGCTTTCAAAGTGCACTATATTGTAATAGCACTATACAGAACGGGTACCGTAATGGATTTAATAACTCCACAAGTTCGAGCTAGATTTTAGATAGCCATTTACCGTTAACATCGAGTATTTTGTAAAATACGTTGTCAAATTGTCAAAATAAATTGATATCTGTTAGAGCTTTGTAATTTAGGCATCATTACATAAAAGATATACTAAGCATACAAAAGTACTAAGAATTAATTTAAACACTAACGAAACGTATTTAAAAAGTTGTTTAAAATTTACGTGTATATTATTGTTAATGAAAAGACCAGAAATAAACATTGTTTAGCTAGGAACATTGTTATTTTAAATCAAACAAGAGGAGAATTAATCATACTATTGCGAAAGTTTACATGGATGGAGAATACTCACTTTTTTTTTAATTTCACGCGGACGGAGTCGCGGGCGATAGTTAGTTAATTAATAAAGATTAATTATCAATTACTAATTCATTTAATAATTGTTATATTTATTATCGCTACTGATACAGAGAAGTTTATTATTCGTCTTTTACTTACAATGCGACAAAATTTTATAACTCTATTACGTTTATCAAAGTTAATGTTCTACGTTATTATAATTCGTGAAAAGATCGGTGTCATTTTTGAAAACTGAATATCAATCCCACGTATTTGCTCTCATCGAAAAATTTCAAGAAAATAATTTAGTAAAACCAATTTTCCGATTACTTCTTTATTGATACACTAGCTTTGACTCATGTTGGGAGTGAATTCCGATATGTCTGCTGATAGAGAAGTATATAAGAGCTGCACATTCTGTGCTAACCCTCCGTAGGGACAACATTAGGTTGATAATGATACTAAGCTTTGCTCACGACATCTTGTTATTGAAGTAATTCAAAACAAACTTTATTTATTATAAAAAGCATCTGAATAATCAAATTTAAAAGAATACACTAAGGGCCTCTCCCATAATTTTTGTAAACAAACAGATGATAACCCAACGTACTAAATATGTGATGGAAGTATCGGATTTTGATACTCTATCTGACAGTGAAGTCACTTTTAAGCTGTCAGAGCCTCTATCAGCCAGTGGTGGGACAGCCACAATATTTTTTTATTTACTGTGTGTGTGTGTGTGTTATTCTAAAAATAGGGACGTGAACACACTATTTTGGACGTAAGGGCAAATTTTAGTCACAAATCTGTTTTTCCGCATTTTTTTATAAAACATTAAATAACTTTAAAACTATGGACAATCGGATAACATAATTTGTGCTTAAATGATAGCTATTGAGGTCCTCTACCTCTACAAAACCGTTGATCCGTCCGTTTATGATATAGATATACATATTTGTCATCGTTTCTTATGTCAACGTCCTACTTCTATCATTAAATATTCATTGTGTGTCGGCATCAAATGAAACTTTATAGGTCAATTAGTGGGACCGGCCAAACGCTGTTCTGACACAATAATATTTAATTTAAAGTAAATCGGGCCCAGGGCTGTCTTAATGAGAGTAGGAGAGGTGGAGACCGAATGGCCCTAAGGACCAGCCTCCTGGCCTCTCCCCTTCCGGCGCTAGTTAATTGACACGTCATTCTTAGGGGCATTCGATATGATTAAGAAATTCCAGGTCTCTATTATAAAGGTGAATCAAGACGTTGTGATGTGACCTGCACATATCTGCGAAGAAAATCAAAGACATGTGTGAAGTCAACCAAGCCGAAGTGCGCTAGCGTGGTACACACCAAAGCCTAGACCCTTATGTAGGCTACGATCCTCTTGATGGGGACGTATAGTGAGCTGGTGACCATTGTCCCTATTGGTAGTTGACTCTCAGTTTGGTGAAGTTTTTCCGGGCTCGTACCAAGCGAAATAAGTCTTGTACGATGGTAATAAAGGAATAATGGAACAGTCATACCAAATTTCCTACATACATATCAAAAACGTTTTCCTGTCAGTAGGTAAAAAAATGGCAAAAATACACTTTGTGAACGTCAGTGCTAAGATAACCCTGGAGAACCCTTCTGATCGCAAAGCAATTTGTTTCCACGTAATTCAAGTTTGAACGTTGCGAGACGCGTGTTGCCACTTTGGCCAACGAATTAGAAAATGTTAGTCGAGTAACGATTTGTGTAATTATATACCTATGTGTTAGTGGCTATACTTACTTTTTGGTTTATTGTTTCTTTTTTGTTTTTATGTGTGTTACGTCGATTGAGAAGAAATCGGTGAGATAACAAACATAAATAAGAATTAGAGTAGGAAAGGATTACCAGTTGATTACCATTGTTCTACTTGGTTTATATCTCGTTTGAATTTGTTATTTGCTTAATTTTGATGTTTTCATGTTCTCTGATTCAATGATTACGATATTTATGTTACTTTTGATACAACACAAAGAAATTTAAAAATGCCATATAGGAAAATTTAAATAATACCCTTTTGTTCGTACATATTCGAGAAGTTTAAACTTTTACGTATTCTTTGTTAAAAAAACAAATACGATGATCCAAAATTCTGACCTCTTTCGACCTTGAGTGGTAGTAAAAAAACGTTTCGACTTGTTTAATATACTTGTGGTGCAACGAGCAACCTTGCAAACCATTTTATTTAAAAAAAAACGTAGATTTTTGTATAGCCTTATTGTATTAGATTGTATTTGTGGTGGTGTTACATTGTAATATTTTATTAAATACTAGCTTTCGCTCGAGACTCCGTCCGTGTGAAATAAAAAACAAAAGCAAGTAGGCTATGTGTCTTCCAGACTGTCCTCTTTATTTATACCAAAATTTCATCGATGAACGGATGTTCAGATGTTTGGGCAACAAACTCTAAAAACCATCCATCCATCTAAACTTTCGCATTTACAACATTATTATGATTATCATACTAATATATGTAAAAGTAAGATTTAAAATAATAGTATCAAATACTATTACTTTTTAGAAAATACGGAAATTTAAGAGTAACTGTTTTTTATCCTTCAAAAGTTCGATTTGGTAATCATTTCTTTTTGACCAACTTCCCAAAAGAAGGAGGTACTCAATTCGTCTGTATGTTTTTTTTATT